AAATGTGCTCAAAAATGTATGGAGATTTTAAAAATAATTTTTAATTCAAGATAAAGCAGTGGCGTAGTATTTTTTTCGCCAAAAATATACATTTCAAAACTCGTACGTACGCCACTGGCAGAGAAAATTAAGAAAATTGTACATCAGAAAATCCGCCTTGAGGCATGAAACATATGTACCAAATATGCCAAAAATGTCTACAAAATTATCTCAGTTATTATTAAAAAACTGATTATTTTTGAAAACTTTGCCACCCTGTATCTCAAAAGTTAAGGCGTTTAGGACATACGTCCATTGGATGTTTTTTCCTTAAAATGGGTCTAAGAATTACCTCCTTAAATATTAGCATGTGTTTAAGGAACACCCTGTATGGAACAGGTAATCATTATTATCAAAGTATATAACAAATATTATTATCTGTGTATGTACATGTACATGTACATGTGTATGTATATCTGTGTATGTACATTTTTTTAATTTCATTCTGTAATAAACAGAAGGAACAAAAAATATTTCATTCAAAAACTGTCACATTGAAAATTTTTCAAATTGTGAGATTACCAATATCCCTCTACATGATTGTCAGATTATCATTTAGGGCGTCTCAGACATCGGGTTGAACCTACAGTAGAAAAATCTGACGCGCTCGAGTATTTCAAGTGAGCATTTTTGTTAACATTTCGAAAAATCATTTAAAGTTCACTAAACGTTCCCTTTCAATGGCTGACACGCTCGAATTTTTTTTGTTTTTTACCGCTTTTCGCAGCCACCCCCACTATTTTATAGTCAGATTGATATCTAGGTATCGGTTATCATAAAGACAAAGCTAGTATACACTATTGATATCTGACGCGCTCGAGTATTTTTTTTTACATTTTCAAACATTTTTTCACCCTTTTTTTCCCACTGAAATAAAAAACTTCAAGAACCTAATCTTCACAATCCAATATAGGTCATCATGACGCATTCCGACCTCCCCTACTACTATATAGTGATATGGATTTTATTTGAACTGTTTTGAAAAATTTAACAACGATTATAATTCCACTTATTGCAATGTATTTTGGCTTCACACCTCAATATTTTTTTTTATTTTCAGTGCGAACTATCAGTTGCTTGTAAAAAGTTAGAAGCCAGTTTTCGAGAATTAGAATTGCGAGAGCCACCCGTTATGGAATTTCCACAACTACATGTGAAATGGGGCTACTGTGACCTTAAATGAAACAATTTGCTGAGAACCAATGTTTGTGATATTTAAAAATTAAACTTCGAGTAGAATAAAAAACCACGACGACTAGTCAGTCCAGAGTAAAGAAGTGTAGTATAACTTGTGCTTATAAGGATTTGTTTTCGGGAATAGCAATAAACCGGAGATAAATATACCGGGTGATAACGAAAGCATTATTCACAGCGCCATTCAATTGTTTATGATGTGCGATATTTGAAATTCGGAATCATATCAAATCAAATTTATTTTCAATATATGATAAAATTTATTGTATTATGTATTTAATGTATTATATTATCTTGAACGAGTAATTTTTTGCCTAGTCTTTGGAATGCCTGTATTTAGTTATATTACTCATTCAGATAAAAGTTCTGTATGTATATTGTATGTTTACAATATGACGATCCTAAGACAATAACTATTGTATGAAACATTTATAAAAAATGTGTGATTAAAATATACATGAAAAATTTGAATGTGGCTTCAATATACTAGTAAACTCAAGAATCTTAGCTAGTTATTGTAATATATTATTGAAGATCTTGAATTATAAACATTAATGTTAAATGTTTCAATATAAATTCCACGACTATTGGAAAACTGATTAATTGAAATGATTTTCAATATAACTGGTAATAACAAATGATGATAAACTAATAGTAGAAGGCCAACGACCTCGTAGTCGACTCATTTAAACCACAATATTCTTCAAGCAAGTGTTTTAGTGCATTCTTTTTCATAAGAATGAAATTAAAATTAAATTTATAACTATTATATGCTACAAAAAATTGTGTAAATTTTAAACTACCAAGAGAGAAGATTTTACGTTTACTGAAGATAATCGCACAGTCGCTTGCGCATACTGTTGCATGACTTACATAGTTGTTAAAGTTCAAGAACATCCATACTAGACACTGGTAACTATTAAATTATCTTACGATAAGTAAATTATTCTCTTGGTATAGATGATCCGTTGAAAAACGTCAATTTTTTTAATATTATTTCCAAAATTGAGTCCTGTGCTATTTGTAAGCTATCAATGTAGTTGTTGAAAGTACCACCTCATGCTATTCTACAATATCTCATTATGGATTACGCCAAAGACTGTAATATAAAAATAAGCCTTTTGAAAGAATATCTCTCTGAGAGTATGAAAGTAACGCATGAGTAGTGTCATCATTTGTGTTACATATGATGAAGGTATAGTTCACCGAAACTGATATTTCAAATGATAAAACACTTGGAAATCTATACAGGGTTAACCGGAAATAAATACAAGTCGATACTTTCGAATGAAACCTGTATACTTTTCGTCCATATTATAGGATATAGAATTCTGTTGTAAACGATATGAAACAAGTGATCATTTCCATTGAAATGGTGGCGTATAGGAACAATTTTCTCTGAATTCAATATTGCGGCACTCTGACGTTATTTATAGAAATATTGTCAAACAACTCGATGTGAGAAGACACAAACAGCATGGTTTGTCCAGTTTCCAAATAATTTTTCAAAATTCGAAATTGTTTCAAAAATCCACGCACTTTTTCTGAATGGTTTCAAATGCCATATTCAACTTGATTTATCTCGTAAATCCTAACGGGAAGTGCTATTTTTTTAAATGTGACATCGAACTGAACCCCTTTTGCTATAAAAAATGTCGAATATACTATCCTGTTAATTTTTCTATACCAATGAAAAAAATTAAATAGTCAAAGCGGTTCTGTATCATTGTGAGTGTTATAAACTACTTACTAATTTTTTCACAATTTTTGAGGTATCATTCAAAAAATGTTCAAATTTTGTCGTTTGTTTCTCCTCACATAGAACTGTTTGACAATATTTCTATAAATGACGTCATAATTGTCATTGTATCGAATTTAAAGAAAATGGTGCTACCCCACCATTTCCAAAGGAAATGACCACATATGCTATATTGTTGAAAACATTATAACTCTCATGTTGCATGAGTAGTAAGGATTTAAAATCCTTACTACTCACAACCTCAAAGAAGTACTGCCTGACGATCAATCTCTCCAAAATAGTAGTAATGTTATTTAGTCGAACAGCAATGAGGAAAAGATGTGAGAGAGATATCGAAATCATTCTGGACAAGCATCAGTTGCCTTTGACAGAACCTACAAAAAATCTTGGTCCCACAATTGGCCAATCACTTAAGTTCAACTCTCATGTCTCCCAAATTATAAAACGTGGCTATAGTAATTTAAAATCAATATACTCAAATAAGAAGTTCAAAAGATGTTCAAAATGGCGACCATTTTCTGCAACACATAATGTCAGACTTTTTTCGAAACGAATTCTCTACAAGTTCCAGCATAACCTCTGGGATTTCCCTACAAGCTCTAGTGAGTTTTCGTTTCATGTCTTCTATAGTCCTCGTTAGTCCTTAGCTCGCACAAGTTTCTCAACTTCTGAGAGTTGTCGTTCGTATGGTGGCGGCAGCTGATTAACGGAAAAACTGATTTTTATAGATGTTGGAGGAGTTTGGTGGACAATCCCTTCCATATACCCCCATAAAAAGTTCATTTTGGTCAGGTGATCTGGGAGGCCACGCCACAAGCTCATTCCTACCTATAAATTTTTTATTGAAATGATCGTTGATGTATTTTTGTACCTCAGTTTCAAAATGTGGTGGTGCACTGTCTTATTGTAGCCACATTATAAGTCTTGTTTCATATAGAACCCCGTCCAATAAATTCGAAAACTCGTGCTGAAGAAATCTTAAATATTTTCTTCCAGCGAGATGCCCACCAAAAAAATACGGACCGATAACTCTTTTTCCAAGAATTCCACTCCAAACATCCAGTGACTAACGCTGTTGATGATTCAGGCAACGAACAAAAGGGGGTGGGATTCCGTTGCATAATTGTGCATGTTATGCCGATTCACAGTTCCATTTTTATGAAAAGTCGCTTCATCAGAAAATAATACGAAATCGAAAAAATCATTTTCCTGATTGATCTATTCTGAGCCCTATCGGCAAAATTGAAAACGTTTTTCGAAATCTCTTTCTCTCAACTCTTGCATCAATTGCATGATTGAAATGAAATTTGCTTGCTCGTATCATTTGAGACAATCTGAAATGTATTCCCTTAATTTGTTACAGGGCAGACACGTTCGAACTTCTCGTGATTGACGTTACCAGTTCTTTCAAATCTTATTTTTAGAGCCTGAAAGGCCGTTCTATCTGGTTGTCTTTTTTTGGGGAACTTCTCTTCGTAAATCCTAGATGTAGGAAGGCAGTTTCTGTCTCTTTCCCCCAAATCATAGACCATTTGCATTATATCTTCCAATACATGATTGAATTGTACATTGATTCAATCTACACGCGAAAGACACTTCAACACATGGCGTTATTGACAAATTCCAAGGTTCATTTTTTGATGTCAGTCATGAATAACTGAATTTTTAGATTCTTTGAGATTCCTATCTTTGAAACCGCTGATAACTATCACTAGATGGTATAAAAAATGCTAATGTACTAGCGATTAGTTTCGAAACCGCTGATAACTATCACCAGATGGTGTAAAAATGCTAATGTACTAGCGATTAGTTTTAATATTCGAAAAACAAATTTGAGTGAGGGAACAATAATTGTGGAACAATAATAAGTGTTGTTACAATAATTACTAAAACTTAGTATAATTTGTAAAATATCAGTTTTTTGTATAGTATACCTGTGATAAAAAATGTCGTGAAATTTTGAAACATACAAAATACAGGGTGTTCCATTGGAAAAAGTTGGATTATGTCTGTTTGAAAATGAATGAAACTTGACCGGTTTTACGGAGCACCCTATATATTATTTCCGAAAGTTGAGATTCCCGAAATTATCATAGTGATATTGAATAACTATTCCTAAAAAAATCCAACTGCATGGTGAATTAAAAAATTATTGTATGCAAATAGGTTTTTCTAGAATAACTTGGCAATGTGGATCATAATATATATTGATAAAGAGGCTATACCATTATGGTGTAAAAGATAATGCATTTACGTGCATTACAAGCTGTTTGAAAATCGCAAACAGTATGTATGTTTGAGGAATTAACAATGCAATGAGACGGGGGTTACAAATTCTACATTAGCTTATATCAACGTAGGTGTTCCACAGGGTTCTATTTTGGGTCCTGTGTTATTTCTACTACATATTAATAATATTGAAAAACTATGTGAAAATGTTCATGTTACAATGTATGCTGATCTTATTTCTGTATTTATCAGATCATTCTGATGAAATGCTCGGAACACATTGTAATGAGCTGATCCGATCATTGGCACATGGTCATATAACAACTCGTTATCCTTCAATATGCAAAAGACACAATATCTTCGGTTTCACAACCGTCAAAAAATTTGTGAGATCGGGTTTNAGACACCATCCTGGCAAGCCACGATGAACCCCTCAGTTTCCGACTTCAGCCCACTCGACCTGAGAAAAGCGAACGTCAGGCGCTTTGATAAGCCAAGGTCTCCAATGTTATTGAAGAAGACCCCATGCATTGGCTTATCCTTGTGTCTCCACAGAAGTAAGGTGATCTCTGCGGCTTTATTATTATTATTTATTATGCTGCAATGGAAGTTCGAAAACAAAAATTCCTTGGAGAGCTAAAAAAGTATGGAATCAAATGACGTATTCATATACTGGGTGTTCTATTTGAAATAATACAACTTTGTTTGGCCACGCTCGGCTGAATCACTCAGTATGCAAGAAAATAATTTTTAAAGATGGTATTTATCGATATGACTGCAAAAAAAATCGAGCAGTCCGAAAAATTGTTTCCTCTGATAGCAATGGACCGAGGGAATCTTGTTGACTACGCCTGTGCATTCATAAGACATTTCCTAAGCTGAGTAAGGAAAAGTTGAAACCTGAATTATTTGATGGTCCTCGAAAATTGATGAAACTTTACAAAAGTTATGATTGATTTTGAAAGTGAAGCATGGAGAAGTTTTGTGTTGGTAGTTGAAAATTTTCTAGAAAACTATAAAGCATCAAATTATAGAGAAATTGTGTAAGAGATGTTGAGAAGCTTTGAAATGTTAGGGACAAATATGAGCATAAAGTTACACTTTCTCCACAGTCATCTGGATATATTTCAAAAGAATCTGGAAAATCATAGTGAGTAATAGGGGTAGCGGTTCCACCAGGATCTCAAAGTAATGCAAGAAAGGTATCAGGGTAAATGGAACTGTCACATGATGACACATTACTGGCAGCCTACAAAAAAGAGATGGTCCCCAGAAATAATATGACAAAAAAGCTACTGAATGGCGTCTTTCTGAAGTTCAAAATAAATTTCATGATTTTTTTCATTGTCAACTTTTATAAATGTTACACAAATATTTGAGCAAAGCACTCAATAATAATTTATATTATTTTCATACAGAAAGTTAATATT